TCTACTGTAAATGATTCTACTGTCAGCTGATTCCATCGCTGCAGTCAGCTGATTCTACTGCCGCTGTTAGCTGATTCCACTGCTGCAGTAAGTTGATTCTACTGCTGCTGTCAGCTGATTCCATCGCTGCAGTCAGCTGATTCTACTGCCGCTGTCAGCTGATTCCACTGCTGCAGTAAGTTGATTCTACTGCTGCTGTCAGCTGATTCTACTGTAAATGATTCTACTGTCAGCTGATTCTACTGCCGCTGTCAGCTGATTCCACTGCTGCAGTCAGCTGATTCCACTGCTGCAGTCAGCTGATTCTACTGCTGCTGTCAGCTGATTTTACTGTAAATGATTCTACTGTCAGCTGATTCTACTGCCGCTGTCAGCTGATTCCACTGCTGCAGTCAGCTGAATCTATTGTAAATGATTCTACTGTCAGCTGATTCCACCGCCGCAGTCAGCTGAGACCACTCCTGCAGCAGGTTTGAGTGACACTACCAGGTTTAGTTCTGGTTCAAGATGAGTTTAACTTGGGTTTGCATTATGTTTAAGCTGGATCTGTGTTACCTTTGAGGGCGGGCAGCTTCTGTAACTCTCTATTTTTGGTCAGGCTGAAGCGGGACGAGCTCTGGCGGCGCTCTTTCTTCACCAGCTGAGGACCTCCGGAGTATTTGATCTTGTTGAGTTGGGTGGGAGGCGGCGTGCTGTTACTGGGACGCTTACTGCCGCTCTGCTGCTGCGACTGATAACACACACACACACACAGGTTATAAAACAGGTTTCAGAGGAAACAGTGAGCCGATATTTAATTATCTGTTTGTGTCGTTGATGTTAATGAACAAACACCAGCCATTCAATATCTGACTTGAATCTATGGGACTTCCTGTTCTGGACCTCTGTGCTGTATTGATCAACTATCAATACAAGTTATTTTCAGGTTAGCTGCAGTGGAGTAAGAACCTGCAGCAGCCGCTCACTAAATCAGGTGATGAAAAGGTGCACACAGGTGAGAGTCACAGAGGCTTCATGGAGACAGAATCAGTTGTGTTGCTCTGAACAGACTGGTTCACTCCCTGAGTGTGTGGTTTCTATATAACACTCACAATGCAGCTCGGAGTTCAGCATCCTGCTCAAGGCCACTGTGGCACAGACTGGTGCAGCCAGGGATCGAACCACCAACCTTCTGATTATCACATGACCTGCTGTACCTGCTCCCCTGAATGAGCCTCTGAGGGCCGTTTGATACCACACATGGTACTGATGGGTGGCATGTGGTGGCGAGGAATGTCTCAGAATCAGAAGACTTTATTTATCCCCAAGGGGCAATTAACCAACAACAGTGCAGCATAACATTGAAGATAAGGACAATAAGAACAGGCAATAAGAGTGAAATAATAAATATACAGTATATACAGTTTTACAATTACACAGTTTTAAAATTAAAGTGACTAAAAGTGAATGAAGTGTCGGTAGTATAAGAAGAGAGTAGTTTCTGTTTGTGGTGTGGGAAATGTTCTTATCGGCTGGAGTTAAAAAGCAGAGTGGCTGAGGGGACAAAGGTGGCGCTCCTCCTCTCAGTCCTGCAGGAAATGCAGCGGAGGCGTCGCCCAGAGGGGAGCCATTGAAATGCGGGGTGAAGAATGTGAGAGGGGTCGTTGATGATTTTGGCTGCCTGTCTGAGGCCTGTTGGCTGAAAACCTGAGCCAGAGTTCTGACAGGCCAATGACTGTAGAGCGCACTGATGCAGTGTGCTCTACCACCCGCGGTCTTCACTACTCAGGTTAACCATGATATATAAGTCACTCAGATAACTTAAAAATGTTGTTGTTTGGCTTTTTCAGTGTTTGATTTGTTCCGGAGTGAATCGGTTTGCTGAGATCAAAGTTATTAGATTATTAGATAAAATAAAACTTTATTAATCCATCAGGTGGGTTCCTCCTTGGTTTTCACACAGCTGAATAAACGTCAAACAGAAAACTGATTAAACAGAAGTGTGAGACGGTCGAGAGTTTACGCCAGTGTCCTGTTATATTTTAGACAGCAAGGAGCAGACGGCGAGTTTATTAAACTCCACCGAGACAGCGGTGACGCTAATCAGAAGGCCAGACCGTCACATTTCACAGCCTCGCACTTTGGTCTTCTCGGCCTTCGGAGGACCCGGCCCACGTAGACCGAGAAGGCCGGGTCCTGAATTTGGACACAGCTGCAGTGTCTGTCTCCTGAATCCAAACTGGCAGCTGCTTCCACAGAAGAGGGGCCTGAAACCTGAAGGCAGGCTTTGACTCCTGATGAAGCTGCTGTATTTTAACCCTCTGTCTGTTTCTAGCAGGGACACCTGCGGCCTGCAGGGGGAGTACTCGAGTATATTTACTTTCACCTTTATTACTCTGCATATAATCAGTGCAGGCAGAGCTTCAGCTCGACTTTTTAAAGTGGAACCTTTCATATCAGCTCCTCGCTGCCATGTGACCAAATCGGCACTCACCTCATCCGAGTTCTCCGGGGTCACATCCTTCCCGCCGCCGCCGCCGCTGTTGCTGTTCTTCGTACTGCTTTTGGCAGATTTGGTCGTTTCCTGTTCCCACACAGAGAAAAACATAAATCAGCTGATCTTGTTTTAATTTTTGTGAGAACAAACTCAAACCAGAGCCGAGGAAAATCAGCTGAGCTGAAACACGAAACGTTTACTGAGCACCGAGGAAGAGGAGGAAGCGTCACAGCCCGACATTTTTGTTTCTATTCTGCATCAGTCTGTCTGTGCGTGATGATGTAACCCGTCAGCTGGTCAGGTTAGGGTAACCAGGGTTACCCCCGCCGGGCTGACATCTCCTCACATAAAGAACGACTCCCAGTCTGGGGACACAGATTACTGATTGAAAGCTGGTATCAGATCAATACTCAGTATGGATCGGCGCACAAACCTGAACTTATGTGAATGTGTGACTGCGTGAAGGCGCGTGTGGGAGGGACTTCTGCTCGAGTCCCAACCAATCACAGCCACGTCCTCTTTATTGGACGCTCTGACTGTGTGTGTCACGCTCAGCCGGGATGTTAAAAATAATAAATGCTTTCTTCCAGGCAGCAGTCACGTGACCCATCCCAAAGAAATGCTGGCCAATCAGAGTTTCCGATGTGTACGCTAAGACTCGATGAACGCCGACCAGCGCTTCTCCTCCGAGTGAACCCGAGCAGCAGCACAGGCTTAACACTTTCAGTTCTTATTTTGACTTTTTGATCCTAATTCAGGTTCCAGGGCGAGTTACTCGGCTCACCGTGTTTGATCTGTTTTTACGACTTTCAGTCTTTTTACGTATTACTGTATGAAGCGCACGTATCACAGGCACTGACAGTGAAATCACAACAGCTGCTCCATATTTTTACTTTCCAACTTCACAAAATCATTCCAGATACTTTCACAATAAAGGCTGCGTGAGCCGCGAGAAGCTCCCTCTGCTCTCTCAGGTGTGCTCCCACAGGTGAACCCTCTCACCTGCAGAGCGATCCTTCGTTCTCATTGCACATATTTAACACGCGATCTCAGCCATGTTTGTCACAACAGCCATGTGCACGTCGCCACAGCGTGAGGACGTCTGCAGGTCACCTGAAGACAGGAAATCAGCACCGAGCCAAACCCTTTCAGCTTAAAAGTAGCTGATCTCTGCCTAAGTTTGATTTATTATCATCATCTTTTTAAATGATTTTCCATTTTTTAGTCTTCTAATATTTATTTTAATTTTTAGAAAGTCTTTTTATTTATCATTAGGTTTTGTGCATCTTAGAGTTTTTATTTGTTTTTATATAGTTACATGTTTCTGATTTTTAAGCTGTATATTTATGTTTTGGATGTCAAATTCTGATTTTGATCTTCTATGTTTCCAATTGTTTTATGAGGGGTTTTTCCTTCTAAATATATTTATATGTTTATACGTACATATGTACACTTTTCTGTTTTCATCTTTCTTTCTTTTTAATTTAAATGTTAATTTTATATGTTTCAGCTTTAATTTTTCTGTTTTTTAATTTAACTGAATTTACTCATTTTGGAGTCACATGTTATTTTTGATCTCATTTTAAAACTTTACTATTTTTGGGTTTAATTTTAGTCTTGTTTTTTTTTTTTTTGCTGTATTTTGCAAATAATATTTTTAAAGATATTTAAATGGAACAAAAAAGATTTGATCGTTGAAACGCGTTTTAAATACTCGTTGCTGTGTTTGTGTTTTTATTCTTTAATACTTTTGTCGCTCATGTTTAAAATGTGTTAAGTTTTTTGTATGATTTATAGAGCGAGTCGTTTACATTACATAGATGCGACTTCAAACCTCCTTTTTTAAAAAAAATTATTTTCAGTTTAAATAAATAATAAAATTTCGGACATCGGAAGCAGCCGATTAATCAGTGAGTCACAGAGAGAAGATTATCAATAATCAATAACTGTGGCCGTTACTTATCAGCAGTTTTTCTCTTTTGATTTCTTGCTGCTCCATTCAAGTTTACAGACTAAACAAATAATCGATAACAATCCGCTGAACCGAACATAAGTGCTGGCTTATAAACATTACGATCAATGACTGATCAGCCCTGAGCGCTGCATCATTAAACAAATCGCCTTAATCCGGTATTTATATGGGTGTGTGAGGTGGGCTCAGACTGCGCTGTGAGCCAAGGAATCGCAGCATCCAGCGGGACATCTACCGGTCATCGTGTGGTCTCAGTTAACGGCTAACGGCTAACCGCTGTGAACGCTTCAGACGCTCTTCTTCAGCCGAGCCCTGCATCAATAATTCAGGCACAGCCAGCGACTCTTCCCGGAGCTCCGGCAACAGAACACGGCTAATCACGGCGGTCAGCTCCACGCTAATATCCTTGCTAAGTGTCCGCTCAAACACTCAGCAGGTGTGCGGTTAAACGAAGCATGTCCGCGGCGGGCGCCGAGCACAGACTCGCGGCTAGCCGTTAGCTTAGCGGTCCTCTCCTAGCTGGGCCCCAGCTAACAGCTAGCAGGTGAGCTAGCCATTAGCTCGGTGAAATAAAACGTCTGAAGTCTCCAGCAGCAGAAAAAAACACCCGCCACACCGGATCTCAGTGGAAAAATGCCCCGGGCACGCCAGTGACGCGGATATTACCTTTTCCTTCTTGGTTTTGTTAGGCATCTTGACCGCGTTGCGGGGCTTTTCCACGGAGATTCCCTGATGTTCCTCCCCGGGACTCAGACGCTGTCACTCGGTCTGTCTCAGCTCCCTGCGCCCTTTCCCGAGCCGCCCAATCCGATTGGCTGTCGGCGTGGACGTCTGCCTAGTGATACATGGAGTGATTTTTTTTTTGATTGGCTGAGTTTGAGTATAACGGTGGGGGTGAGGCTGCAGGGAGGTGAGGAAGAACTGGATTCTTCCCCAGCAACAAAACACCTTCAACCTGATGATACCGAGCTCCGAGGACCGGAGAGAGCCAGAGAATCGCCAAAACCACCCGGGTCCCCCGCCTGTCCCCGGAGCAGCGGCAGCAACATGTTATAATCACACAGACAGGAGCCCGAAGCTCAAAGTTCCAGCTGCACCCACTCACAGAATCAGAACCCATCTCAGCACCTGAAATCATACTTCTGATTCTTCAACAGGAATTTGTTGCAGCAACGTGCCTAAAAGGGGGAAGACCTCAGGGGAGACCTCGAACCCCCTCATCTGGTCTGGGAGCGCCTCAGATTCCACAGGAGGGCCCAGAGGTGTCGTTGAGGAGGAGAACATCTGGAGTCCCTGCTCAACCTGCTGCCACCATCATCAGCGGAGGATAAAGGATGATGAGTGATGGGTGGATGATGGGTCGGTGGATGGAGGCAGCAACATGTTTGAATTAAGCAGCTCCAGATGTTTTCAGCTGTGCGCTGCAGGCAGTTTTACTTGTAATATTCCTTCTTTTTTATATATAAACTTATTTCATTTACTCATTTTGATGAATTCACTTGTTTTTTCATTTTCATGTTTACCAAGTTTGGGTGTTCTTTTTTTATTTTACTTTTTACTTTTACTTTTATTTTTTCATCTCCATATTTTTCAAGTATTAACATTTAGAAAACAAGCTCTTCTTAAACACAGAACCTTAGAAAGTAAATTTCATCATACAAAGAAAACTTGGTTTATGGATTCAAATTACCGATCAAAGGAATTTTATTCACGCGTTCATACTGCTGTTCATCTCTCCCACATTTTCATCTGAATGAGCTTCTGTGAACCTGCACATCTGCTTCAGCAGCCAATCAGCTCGCCGATGAGGACAGACGTTCCCCCAGATGTTTTCAGTTAGCATCAGACTGACAGAGCTCCCAGACGAATTTCAACTTCTTATTTTTAATTTATGTTGTTTACAGAGAGGGAACAAAAACAAACAAACAAAAGCAGTGGTCCTTCACTTCAACCAAACTTTATTTATCCAGCACAGAACAAACAGCTGACAGACCATCGGCCAATCAGCCGATCGCAGGCTTGATCATCAAAACAACATCAAAGAATTCAATGAAATAAAAAGCAGTAAAAAAATAAATAAATACAAAACTGAATTTTTATATTCAGGCAAACAATGCAAAGAATAAATAAATCATTAAAAATAAAGAAACATCGAAATCATAGAAAAGTTTTTTTTAAGATTAATCAGAAAATTGACTTGAAAGGGAGAAAATCAAATGCATTTAAGCTGAAACGGGCAAATCGAATGACCACAAAACATTAAAATGGTAAGCTAACATTTGGAGAGAAAAAAGTGGAATATTCACACTTTAAAATGTTTTAATTGGCAATAAAAATCATTCAAATATGTTTAAAATGACTACAAACAGAAAGTAAAACATAGTTGTGACTCTTTAAAAACAAAGTAATTTACTGGCTTTGACTATAATTGACTTCATGTTTTTCCGGCATGCACGCGCACTTCCATACAGGTTCCCATCCTCTTACCTTACTCCAAGCAGAAAGAACCAGGATCCAGGACACACCTGAAAACCATCAGATGTGACACATACCTGTTACACCAATCAGAAATAAGATGTGCAGCCTGATCATGAGACACGTGGAGCTGCAGACTAAACACAGTCTGTGTGGGAAGAAAGTTTTTAGACTTTTACTGAAGTAAAACTTATAACAGCACAGATGTGAAACAAACATACTCCACATTACAAACATATACATGTTACTAATGCATCATAATTATTGATGTGTACATTTCTTACATCCAGCAGCTGTTCATAACTTATACTTGGTGGTTATCTGTACTCCAAGTAGTGTAGAGTATAAACCACAATATCTGCATCAGAAATACAGTAGAAACAGGAAGCAGCATCACACAGAAATGACAGGCATGTTAAATTTGAGGGAAGTACTTCAGTAAATGTACTTGGTTACTTTCCTGCTGGTCTCATCTGAGGGGCTGTAACCTGGCCGCCTCCACCTGCACCATGAAAACATTTTTATTGGACATGTGCAGCAAATTTCTGAGCTTTAAAGCAACACAGGCTCATCAGGTCTGATGTGCTTTGATCTTTACTCACTCACCTGTGCTCACCTTGAACATGTGACTGGAGGACCCACAGGTATAAGATAAGCTTTATTAGTTTTGTTACAGCAGAAAGAGGACAGTGCAAAGTTACAGAGCAAAACAAAGAAAAACACTAGAATAGGATAAGATGATAAGAATAAGATACTGTACACAATAGAATAAAAATACTGTATACAACTGAGTAAAATACAACGTTGTCGCATTACTGCACATGTGTGGATGTGTGTGTTTGGTCAGCTGCGAAGTCTTTGTTGTGGAGTCTGACAGCAGTGGGGAGGAAAGCCCTGCAGCCCGCCACTGTAGGAGCTGTTCAGTGCTGTCAGTCTCCTGCAGGGGCTGGGATGTATGTTGTATGTTCCTAAAGATTTCATAAAGCTTAATTTTAGAAATGTTTTTGCTCTATTAAATAATTGTTTTCTTTTAGAATCACTCATCTTAGCAGTAGGATTTACATGAAAAGAGAAACAAATTAAGTTTGAGTGAAAATGTACACTTTTTGCACTCTCTGGTCGACTGACTCAGTGAATCAAATGACTCAAAAAACCCGATTCACTTTGGTGAGTGACTCATTAAAACTCGATTCAGTAAAAAGAATCAAATTTACCATCACTACTTTCTCTACACAGTTATATTTGTGCCACAAAACCAGCCAATCACAGACTTGGATGCAAAAAAATCTGATTGGCTGTTCTGGTCTCCAATCAGCTCGAAATGACGAAATGCAATATCCCAGAATCCATTTTGTCCAAAACTCAAACGAGGCAGTGGCGGAGGAACACAGAGGGGCGGAGTTTGAAATGTTACTCTTTCTGGGTCACAAATAAACTTTTAAGATATTTTCATGCGAGAATGTTTCTGTGTAAACTTCAAATATCTGCTCGATTCATCAAGACGTCACATATTTGCAAAAGTGCTCTGACGTTTTCAGAGATGCCTGTTACCCACCAGCTGACCGGGTGGGAACTTGGGTTAAACGCTGATGAAAATGCAGAAAACACAGATCATGAACACTTGTTCAACCAATCACTTTCATTCCACTTTGATCTGCGACAAACTGACGCAGATCAAACGGTTCATCTCTGTTACAGTGTTGTTAGACTGCTATATTTTTTGTTCTTTATGCTGTAGATTTTCACGTCTCTGGAATAGTTGGCAGTAATAAGGATGCTTTTCTGTAAAATCATATTGATATGAGCCGTGACATATTCTTAGATGACCGTTAGTCAGCTGGGAAACTCTGTGTTACCTCAGAGAGCTGAAGATATCGTGGACATGCTGACCTCGCTCTGTGGTGTACAGGTCCGTTTACCCTCATGATTAATATTCACAATAAAAATATTAGCCGAACATTATGAAGTCTGTATGTGTTTCATAGTGTCGAACAACCTTTGTACAGTTAAAGCAGTTACTACATGACGGAAACACCAACGTTATCTCTTTTATGCGTTTATACGCAGGTCACGCTGATTACTGAACAAAGGCCCGAAGATCAGCTGTTAATCAGATTTATTTGCTCTCTCTCCTCCTTAAACATGTTTTTAATGTTAGTTATAATTCAG